GCTCAAATTAAATAAACATGTTTCATTGCATCTAAGTGCCTGTTTGGCACCCCTTTTTTTGTGATTTTTGAGGCAACTCCCTATTTTTCTACAGTAATTTTTAGAGTTTTCCTGTCAATTTCCAACAATTGTGGGCCCAAAGTCAGAAAAGTAGGAATGTGGAACTGACTCATCACAGTTTTGCCGGTTCATTTCAATTATCCAAAAAATGACATTTTCATTTTTGCCCTTCTAATTGTTTTTTTCATTTCCTAATGTCTCAAAAAATTTCGCTAAAAATAAAGGGCAAATTAGTCCAATATTTCAACGGAATTATGATTCTGTGCACATATCTGATGGGTATTCAAATGTTGACTGTGTTCTCTGACAGTTATGTAGAAAAATGAGAAGTTGCCTCAAAAATCACAAAAAAAAAGGGGTGCCAAACAGGCACTAAATGAATCCATCATTTCAAAATAATACTATCTAGTATCAGTAGTGATAGAGCTCTAATTTAGATGGTTACATTTTATAGGTTTTATTATATGAATAATGTGAACTTGTATTTAAATTAATTTAGGAATAATTGCAGCAAAAGTTTCAAACCTTTGAAATACTAGTAGACTTTTCTCAGACATTTGATTTGTTGCAGCCGTCACTCCTAACATTTCCAAACGTTGCGGTGAAGCCCCTTAGATAGTTTCCATCCACAATTTCGTTAATTGACCAAAAAATTAACTTTGACCACGTTATAATAAATTTCAATTAGAGTAAAATGGTACTTTTATATTTATCACATTAAATAACAAAACAAAAAGAAATGGAAAAACTATACTTTCTACTTCCCAAATCCACCCAACTCGCCCAGTCTCTAGTCTGAATCAATAATCCTTCGGTCACCTAGCTTGCTCGAGAGAAGTGATATCAGATCAGTCTCCAGCATCAATAATCATTGGATCACGTTTTCACTAAAAGGAAAAAGAGAGTATATTTCATGCATTTAAACACATACAGACAATTTGGATCTTGAATTGCTTAATTCTTTTCACTTTCAGTCTCTTTCTCTAACTCTAGGAGATACAATTATCTTAGAACCCTTCATTTTAGGCGGATAAATTGGTCTGTTTCTTCACAGATCCAAGAGTGCGAAAAAGCTTGGTAAATATGGGTTATCTATGAATGGGTTTCTTGAATATGTATTTGGTTAATTTCTACTTTTGATTTATGGGCAATAGGGCTGCGTGTATTAGTTTTTTTTTTTTTTTGAATATTTGTATTTTTAGCTCTGTTTACAAATGTATTTTTTTAGCATTTTCTAGCCAGCAATTTTTTGGCCGGTGTATTGTCTAAGCGTCGGAGAATGGTGGCCATTGGATGTTGATTTTGGGTTTGAGGTGGGGGAAGGGGAAGGGGAAGGGGAAGGCGAAGGGGTGAGCGGGAGAAGACAATTGTGTTTATTTATTTATTTATTTCTCATTTCTTATTTTTTTTAATTTAATTAGTTTAATTATTTAATATGATAAATATAAAATTGTTCTTCTGCCCCTTTTTAAAATATTAAAAAAGTGATCAAAGTTAAATTTTTGATCAATAGATGGAATTGTGGATGGAAATTTCTAGAAGGGGAAGACCTACAACGTTTGGAATTGTTAGGGGTAACGATTGTAACAAATGAAAAGTTTGGAGAAAGTTTGTTAGTGTTTCAAATGTTTGGAGCTTTTGCTGCAATTATACCATTAATTTATCATTTAATACCATGTAATTGTCACCTAAACTAATACTTAACACTAATGATGATGAATAACATTACTTATCATTTAATGTTATCTATGTTGTCATCTATACAGATGTTAACAATTAGTGGTGCTTAATATCATTAATCAATTAATTAGACTTCATTCAATTACAATTCAAGATTTAAGGTGAAATAGATTAAGTGTTATTCCTCAAGTACGGGAATAACTCACGGAATTTTGAAATTCCAGCATTCTGTCCGTCCTTGTGTATTTTCCCTCTTTCCATCTTTGAATCTATTCCCTCTGTTTCAAAATTCTGTATAAAATTTGTATAATTATTCTGTACTTATAGCNCACTATTAATCCCTCACTCCTACATAGATTCTTCTCGCTTTCCCCAATTTATGAACATATAACTAGATATATTGCTGTTTAGATTTGTTTGAACCCATTTGTTGAGAGAATGAATTTCATAATAGTAATTTTTTGAAAAATGTGCGATTTAAAAATATAGGGAAAAAGTGGGTCTATGTGTAAAATTATACTTTTGAAAAAACAAAAGTGTGATTAAAAATGAGTTTAGAGAAAAATAAAGTTGCATTTGTTTTACTACTTTCAAGCTCTTTTTTCTTTTCAAGTTTTTTGCGAGTTTAGAGAAAAATAAGGTTGCGTTTGTTTTACTACTTTCAAGCTATTTTTTGTTTTGAATTTTGCAAAAAATTGAAAATCATGTTTTATCTAATATTTCTAAAAATGCTTTTTCAAAAATAGTATTAAACTTATTATAACATAAAACTCAAAATGTATTTTTAACGTTTTGAGTGTTTTCAGTAAAAATTCTGAAAGCAATCATTAAAAACAAAAGTTAAAATAAAAATTTTATTTAAATACAATTTTTAAAATAAAAATTTTAAATTACTGAAAATTAAAATATAAAAAAATAAATTCTAAAAAAAAAGATAAATTCTAAAAAAATTGAAAAAATAAATTCTAAAAAACGAGTAAAATTTTAAAAAAGTCTAAAAATTAAAAAATTAAAAATTTGTAAAAATCCACATAATCAATTTTTATTTTCTATATTTTGAACTCAATTTATTATTTATTATTTATTTTACTTTTATAGTGAGAAAAAATGTTGCAACATTCACTATCTATAAAATGTATATATTACTTAACAATTTATTAAAACAAAATTGTACAAAATTTACTAAATAATCAAATTTCATGAAATAAAATATCATAAAACAATTTTTCAACATTTCAAACCAAACGTACTTCTAGTTTTCTGTTTTGAAAAAATATTTTTTTCAAAATGACAAATAAAACACGTTTTTAGCAATCTTGAAATAGGCTCTCCAAACAAAAAATTAAGAATGAACTCAAAATTCAAAATTGAGAACAGAGATACAAACCAAAGGAACTCAAGTTTTTAAAAAATGTGACTCAAATAGGTGCTTATTCTTAGTGGTGCTATAACATCAATTTAAGTAACCTTATTTGATAGCTCAAATTAAATAAACATGTTTCATTGCATCTAAATGAATCCATCATTCAAAAATAATACTATCTAGTATCAGTAGTGATAGAGCTCTAATTTAGATGGTTACATTTTATAGGTTTTATTATAGGAATAATGTGAACTTGTGTTTAAATTAATTTAAGGATAATTGCAGCAAAAGCCCAAAACCTTTGAAATACTAGTAGACTTTTCTCAAACATTTGATTTGTTGCAGCCGTCACCCCTAACATTTCCAAAACATTGCAGGTGAAGCCCTTTAGACAGTTTCCATCCACAATTTCATTAATTGACCAAAAAATTAACTTTAACCACATTATAATAAATTTCAATTAGAGTAAAATGGTACTTTTATATTTATCACATTAAATAACAAAACAAAAAGAAATGGAAAAACTGCACTTTCTACTTCCAAAATCCACCCAACTCACTCAATCTCCAGCCTGAATCAATAATCCTTCGGTCACCCAGCTTGCTCAAGAGAAGTGATATCAGATCAGTCTCCAGCATCAATAATCATTGGATCACATTTTCACTAAAAAGAAAGAGAGAGTATATTTCATGCATTTAAACACATACAGACAATTTGGATCTTGAATTGCTTAATTCTTTTCACTTTCAGTTTCAGTCTCTTTCTCTAACTCTAGGAGATACAATTATCTTAGAACCCTTCATTTTAGGCGGATAAATTGGTCTGTTTCTTCACAGATCCAAGAGTGCGAAAAAGCTTGGTAAATATGGGTTATCTATGAATGGGTTTCTTGAATATGTATTTGGTTAATTTCTACTTTTGCTTTATGGGCAATAGGGCTGCGTGTATTAGTTTTTTTGTTTTTTTTTTTTGAATATTTGTATTTTTAGCTCTGTTTACAACTGTATTTTTTTAGCATTTTCTAGCCAGCAATTTTTTGGCCGGTGTATTGTCTAAGCGTCGGAGAATGGTGGCCATTGGATGTTGATTTTGGGTTTGAGGTGGGGGAAGGGGAAGGGGAAGGGGAATTGTGGATGGAAATTGTCTACAATGACTTCACCTACAACGTTTGGAAAAGTTAGGGGTAACGACTGCAACAAATCAAAAGTTTGGAGGAAGTTTGCTAGTGTTTCAAATGTTTGGAGTTTTTGCTGCAATTATCCCATTAATTTATCATTTAATATCGTGTAATTGTCACCTAAACTAATATTTAACACTAATGATCATGAATAATATTACTTATCATTTAATGTTATCTATGTTGTCATCTATACCGATGTTAAAAATTAGTGGTGCTTAATATCATTAATCAATTAATTAGACATCATTCAATTACAATTCAAGATTTTAGGTGAAATAGATTAAGTGTTATTCCTCAAGTACGGGAATAACTCACAAATTTTTGAAATTCCAGCATTCTGTCCGTCCTTGTGTATTTTCCCTCTTCCCATCTTTGACTCTATTCCATCCATTTCAAAATTCAGTATAAAATCTGTATAATTATTCTGTACTTGNCTCTTCCCATCTTTGAATCTATTCCCTCCATTTCAAAATTCTGTATATAATCTGTATAATTATTCTGTACTTATAGCGAGATTCATAGATTAATAACACAATGAGACTGGAATGGGAAAAGGACACCTACTCTGGAAACTATTAATGTCCCATTTTGTCCTAAGTAAATTACCTGCTAAACGCACAATATTGAAAGCATCTTTTCTTGATCTTATCTTAATCATGTGTGCTATATAAGTGTGTCTGCCCTTGTTCTCTCCAAAGCAAAATAGTAATGATTACAATGGATATTGAAATCATTTCCAAAGAAAGAATTAAACCCTCTTCACCAATACCAAATCACCTTAGAAACTTCAAGCTTTGCCTCTTAGATCAGCTTATTCCAGCTCCTTATGCTCCCATTGTCCTTTTCTATCCCAATTCTGATTCTGCTTCCCATGCTCAAGTCCTCAAAAGGCTTCTTCTTCTTAAAGAATCACTATCAGAAATCTTAACCCAATTTTATCCGCTTGCCGGTACAATCAAAGATGATCTGTCAATTGATTGTAATGATCAAGGGGCTTACTATATCACAACAAGGATCAAATCCCACCTCTTCGAATTTCTTGAACACCCCGAAATTCATTTGATCAATCGGTTTCTTCCCTTGGAAGGGACTAGTGTAACTAATATCCAAGTCAACTTGTTCGAATGTGGTGGAATCGCCATTGGCGTCTGTATTTCGCACAGAATTCTTGATGGAACTGCACTAAGCATGTTCCTTAAAGGTTGGGCTACTGCAGCTTTTGCTTCATCCAAAAAAGTAGCGTATCCCGATTTCTCTGCATCTTCCCTCTTCCCTGCTAATGATTTAAGGCTTAAAAATGGATCAATGGCCATGTGGGGTGCAGTCTTCAAGAAAGGAGAGTTCATTACAAAGAGATTTGTATTTGATGGTTTGGCTATAGCAAAACTCAAAGAAATGGCAACTACCAGTTCAAGTGTGACGCATCCTACTCGAGTCGAGGCCATTTCTGCATTCATATGGAAATATACAATGGCTGCATCGGAGAAAATACGTGGTTCCAAGAAACCTTCTTTGATCACGCACATCGTAAATCTGCGAAAAAGAGCAGCCCCAAATTTTTCAGAACATTCTATTGGAAACCTGATTTGGATGGCAAGTGCAAAATTCAGCAGTACTGTCAAGAATAATGAAACCATTGGACTCCCTTCATTGGTGCATCAGTTAGCGAAATCTATAACGAAAATCGATGCTGATTATGTGAAGAAACTAAGGAGTACAGAAGCTTCCCTCATGATGTATAAGCATTTCAAAGAGATGGGGGAATTTGTCTCTAATGGTTCAGCAGATTGCTTTGCGTTCACCAGTTGGTGCAAATTAGGGTTCTATGATGCTGATTTTGGGTGGGGAAAACCTGTTTGGGTTAGCAGTATGGATTCAAGCATCCCCTTTTTCATGAATCTAATCGTTCTTATGGACACAAGATGTGGTACTGGAGTAGAAGCCTGGATCACCTTGGATGAACAAGAAATGAGTATATTAGAAAATAATCGAGAATTTCAGGCATTTACTTTGTTGAATCCTAGCCCTTTAAACATTGGGCATGCATCCATGAAGTTTTCAAGATGATGTGTGATATGTGATCAATGTATTAGTATATTCTACCATATAACAAATAAGATTTTTAACTTATTTTTCATTTAATTTTTATTCAATATGGTCTAGTTCAACATACTTATTTTCAATTTTTTTTTTTTAAGTTCTTGTTTGATTTCGATTATTTGAGAATCACATCCCTTCAATACTCGTTCAAACTGTCTCAAAAAAAAAAAAAATTGTTTTTCACATTTTTCATACTTTTTAACTGCACATTCACTAAAAAAACAATTTTCAAATAAAAACTTTATAAACAAGCGTAAGCAATATCGTAACTCAATTTTCAAAATTTAGGAAAATAGTAACAAAACAAGCCGGTCATTGGACCGCCATATTTTCTGAACAAGAAATATAACGACGAGAAAGCAACGCCTAACTTACATAAGAGTCATACAATATCTTGATTTGTCACCATGAATGTCTCTTGGTTTGGTGTAAATTAAAATCACAATTTTAGCAACTTTTGATAGAAATTGATGAAATGTATGGTCGAAAAGTTGTGGAATTCCTAAAATATGTAATTACAATAATTGTTAACTTTAATTTAATTTAAATTTTAATTCTTACCGGGACAAAATGTGTCGTATAAAAGTCTTATTTCCATTACACTACATCTAGAAGCCTTTTATGTCCACTCGTTTCCCCTTACCAGGAGTCTCTAATAGCTTACCATATAGACGTGAAGTCACCTCCAACTAGTCAAAGTATGACTAATTATTTATTCATTGAATTATAACAAAAAAACACTATTAGCTAAGGAAGTAGAAATGTAAAGGATAATTGCAAATTAGTCCCCAATCTTTGACGAAAGTAGTGATCAAGTCTCCTAACAATTTCTCACCTAACTATTGTCTCTTAACTTCTGCAAGTGTTTATATGCCCCTAGTGCTGCTTTTTCGAGTGAATTTATCAAATTTTGATACAATCCACTGTGTTTCCAATATACTTTATCTACAGATGGTCTTCATTAACCTTCATTTATCTATTGGTTTCCACTTTATTGCCCCTATTTTTGGTTGAATGCAGTCAACAATTGTGGCTGCTTTTAATATGTACGGTTAAATGTTGAATTTTAAGTAGAAAAAGGTGATATGGACTTTGCAATGTAGCCACGTTGTAGAAATTATTCAAACTGAATGTATCAGCAGGGACCACTTGATGTGATAGAAAATTTAAATTTCAACAAAATTTAGTGCATCCAGACAAACGCTAAAAGTACTTTTTGACTTTGACAAAGTTTTTGTTAATCATAGGCTAAAAGTAAGTGCATTGCAGTTGCTCCGGTCAATTTTATAGATTAAGTACATGTTTGAGCCCAATTTTATTGTAAGAATGTGTTTTGAAATAAGAGATAGATGGAATATATGGTTAAAAAATAAGGAAAAATTTCAAGTTTGCGTTAATATTATTTTATTGAAAACTGTGTGATTGAAAAAATGGAGAAAAAGATGTATTATAATATAGAATAACAAGGTACAAAGAGTTTGCACTATCAATAGCAATTTGTGATTCAGGTACACCGATGTTGCGTTTATGGGTGGGAAAGCTTTGCGTGTTCAGCCTACAGTTCGCCCGCGTTTCTTACAATTCATTTTCAACCACATATTTTATGAGATTTACAATTTTTTTCAACTTTTCAACCGTATATTTTACCTTCTTTTTTTTTTTTTTATCAAAATCTATATTTGACCCCATTTTATTGAAAGAATGCATTTTGAAATAGTATATTAATGAAAAATGTGTGGTTAATGAATAAAGAAAAGTTTTGGAATTGCGTGTAATATTATTTTATTGAATAATGTGTAATTGAAAAGAATAGATAAACATATATTTTGGAAATAATATGAATCAAACAAGGACTAAAACTCTAATTTTTTTTATTTTATTTTTTAAATAAAAAAGAGGCATTATGTTACATGGGTGATGAAAGAATCCTTGTAATCACTTCCATTCTTCAATTTGAAAGCCCTTATACAATCATGGTGTATATAATCATACATGTTGTAGATAGTGGTAGCAATCGAGCTGAGTGGCTCGTCGGGTCGACCGCTCGACTCGTACTGTAGCGATCCATGAGCCGAGCCCCAAAACACGAGCCTGAGCACGAGCCCGCTCGACTCGTACCATTCACGAGCTGCTCGCCTACCTGCTGGTTGGCTCACCTAAGACGAGCCCACGAGCCGAGCTGCACGTGGGCTCGTCAAATTTTAAAAAAATTTAAAAAAAAAATGAAAACATATGTGATCGGAACGGTCACTGAATTTTTTAGTGACCGTTTGGTTACTTTTACTTTTTTTTAATTTTTTAATTTTTTTTCTAATTTTCTTCTTCTATAAATACCTACTCATTATACATTTTTTCTCACTAAACTTTCATTCTTTACTCTACTCTCTACTACATTCTACAATNTGGCACCCATTATTTTGAAGAATGAGTTTTTGAATAGTGATTGATGTAAAGAATGTGTGGTTAAAAAGTAAGAAGAATTTTTGGGTTTATGTGTAATATTATTTTATTTGAAGAATGTGTGGTTAGAAATGAGTACCGTAGAAAAATGAGAATGAGAATGAGATAAAAAATGGGTGTCAAACAGGGGCTTAGTGCATCCAGACAAACGCTAAATAGTACTTTTTGACTTTGACATAGTTTTTGTTAATCATAGGCTAAAAGTACGTGCATTGCAGTTGCTCCGGTCAATTTTATAAATTAAATACATGTTTGAGCCCAATTTTATTGTAAGAATACATTTTGAAATTAGAGATTGATGGAATATAAGGTTAAAAAATAAAGAAAAATTTTAAGTTTGCGTTAATATTATTTTATTGAAAACTGTGTGATTGGAAAAAATGGAGAAAAAGATGTATTTTAAAATAGAATAACAAGGTAAAGAGAGTTTGCACTATCAATAGCAATTTGTGATTCAGATACACTGATGCTGCGTTTATGGGTGGGAAAGCTTTGCGTGTTCAGCCTACAGTTCGCCCACATTTCTTACAATTCATTTTCAACTACATATTTTATGAGATTTACAATTTTTTTCAACTTTTCAACCATATGTTTTACCTTCTTTTTTTTTTTAATCAAAATCTATGTTTGACCCCCATTTTATTGTAAGAATGCATTTTAAAATAGTATATTAATGAAAAATGTGTGGTTAATAAATAAAGAAAAGTTTTGGAATTACGTGTGATATTATTTTATTGAATAATGTGTAATTGAAAAGAATAGATAAACATATATTTTGAAAATAATATGAATCAAACAAGGACTAAAACTCCAATTTTTTTATTTTATTTTTTAAATAAAAAAGAGGCATTATGTTACATGGGTGATGAAAGAATCCTTGTAATCACTTCCGTTATTCAATTTGAAAGCCCTTATACAATCATGGTGTATATAATCATACATGTTGTAGATAGTGGTGGCAATCGAGTCGAGTGGCTCGTCGACTCGACCGCTCGGCTCGTACTGTAGCGATCCATGAGCCAAGCCCCAAAACACGAGCTCGAGCACAAGCCGAGTCCGCTCACTCGCTAGACGAGCCAAGCCGCTTGACTCATACTATTCACGAGATGCTTACCGAACAGCTCGTCAACCTGCTTGGTGGCTCGCCCAAGACGAGCCCACGAGCTGCTCAGCTCATGGACTCGTCAAATTTTAAAAAAAGTTAAAAAAAATGAAAAAATATGTGACCGGAGCAGTCAATGAATTTTTCAGTGACCGTTTGGTCACTTTTTTTTAATTTTTTTCTCTTTTTTTTTTTCTAATTTTCTTCTTCTATAAATACCTACTCATTATACAATTTTTTTCCCACCAAATTTTCATTTTCTACTCTTCTACTACATTCTACAATTTACAAATCATTATCAACAATATCATAATTATCATTTATTTATTCTATAATCATCTTCTACA